TTTTACCCTCTTTTCCGCGTTTTACCCTCTTTTCCGCGTTTTACCCTCTTTTCCGCGTTTTACCCTCTTTTCCGCGTTTTACCCCCTTTTCCGCGTTTTACCCTCTTTTCCGCGTTTTACCCCCTTTTCCACGTTTTACCCTCTTTTCCGTTTCCGTTTTTCCGGTTCCGCCATTCCGGTTCCGCCGGTCCGTTCCGTTCCGTTTCCGCGTTTTACCCCTACCCGTTTTTTATTCACATAAAAAACTACTTAAACGGGCAGACACTCATATTAACCACACTTTTTAACGAATACATTAAACTTCAACGAAAAATGAAATTGACTCTAATTTAATGTCTCTGGTTGTCTTCTTCCCCCAAATTTCCCAGGCTTGAGCAACTGTATTTTTTTCAATTGTCGTTTTAAATTATTTAGCATTTATACTCACCATGACAAAAAAAATGGTCCAAGTTCCTCCGGGGCAAAGCGTGGTGTTTGTGCATGTGCCGAAGGATTAGTGTGCAGGGCAGAATGTAAACAAAACAATACCTTGATACCCTGGAGCCTGGTGCATACGGGAAACAAAAACAGCAACTGGGTTGGAAAATACGGGAGGCTGGATTGGGAAGGATATTTTCCAACCACTACAACCCAGCCAAAGGCAGATGGATACCAGGTATGTGTAGGGTTGTTTTAAAGTCAGTGTGCATTTTAAATTTTTGCTTGGATACCAGGTGCGATTTTTCCAGGAACAATTGAGGACAAAGTAGATCTACTTCAGGACAACTAACTCGCATTGAAACGAATTGGCTTTCCAATGTAAATTCGGAAAGGCAGTGAGGCAGTTCCTAAATCTTTGAGAAAAATAGCTTAACTTCGTTGTCATGCAAATTCAACCAAGTTGGAGCACAATAGGAAACAAGACTTGTCGATATATTATTTCAATACTAGACTAAATTATGTACCAATTGAGGCACAAATTAACATTGAACGACCTATTACGGTAGAGCCTGTTAAAGCAAAATGTATCACTAATCTGCCCACTGTGGCAAAAAATAACACTGATCTATCCATTGGGGTAGAGCACAATAGGCAATTCCAGCCTTTCATTTATGTGTGCAGGGGTGGCGTAAGTAAGATATCATATTGCTAATTATGCTGCCCATTCATCCCCAAAGTTTTCAAATCGTAGCTTGATATGTTGGCCATCTTGAATAAACAATTTCTGGGCGATGATATTTAGTGAAATTTACTTTCTCCAATCTTTTTATGCTCCGGTTGAGCCCGCAATTAAGGAGTTATTAAGTTCGGGCTGCAATTAATAATTAAAAAACAAAATATATATAGAAGAAATGTTACCGCTGTATAGTTCTAATTAAGTATAGATATTTTTATTAAATACTTCTCTGCTACACTAAAAAATGCGGATAACTGATCGATTTTGCGACACGCGATTGTAGGAGGATTCAAAGATTTTGAAATATAAGTAACGCGATTTACTGCATTCTGAGCCTACATTGTATACCAATTCTTCATATATCGCATTATATCAGACAATGCGTTAAAAGTCGCACCTACACAGCATGTAGAAGCAACGCAGTTATGTAACTCCTAAGTGCTAAACGCAGTTTAATACTTAACCTAAACTGATACTGCACGCTACAAGAAAACAAAACTATGAACGAGGACCACAGTTGCTAATCAGTTATGAAGAAGCATATACAGATTACCTACACTCATGTAACATATTTTTGAGAATAATGGAATTAAGTAGATGCATGGCCACTTTTTTCTGTGTGTATATAAACACAGTAAACTAACTAACCAAGCGTCGCATTTCCCACATAAAATATATTTCCCACAACAGAACGGCGCTCTGGTGAAATTGTTTAGATTGTAGAAGTTCTGTTATCTTTAATCAACGCGGCAGCACAAATATCGAGGAGAAATTGTTCATGAAGGTTTATTACCGTTCCTCTGCCAGTCCATGATGATTTATACCATACTCCAACTGGAAAGGAGGTTTGGTTGCTCCACTTCGCCCACCAAGTCCAGTTGAAAATGGTTGGGAACTTAGGGCGGTGACTTTACCATTCATGGATGATCAACAGCGTTGTCCCTGAACAGCTTTTCGGATTTGTACCGTACATTGTGGCTGCAACAAAGACTGTGGAACACAAAAGTGTTCTTGCTTTAAAGCTGAGCTTCGGCCTGCAGAGCACAGAACTGTGTACAAAAACTGCATAAAAACAGTTTCCGACAGCACATCGGATGACGAGGAATACTTGTATAGCAAATCCACCGAAGATTCAACATCAGATGCGGAAACTAAGCGGATGTCTAAAACATTTTCCTTCTGCTGACAGTGGAACGATGATAAACCTTCCTGAACAATTCCCCTCGATATTCGTGTTATAGCACTGCTTAAATATAATAGAACTTGTACAGTCTGAACAATTTCGCCTGAGCGCCGTTGTGTTGTTGGAAATATATTTTTTGCGAGGAAGGCGACCGTTGATTAGTTCCTTCTTTGTGTTTACGCAGAAAAAAGTGGAGTGGTCATGCATCTATTTTCTATTATTTTCAATTGGTATTTGGAGTTTGGTGCAGGGTGTAGGTAATCTATATGCCTCTTTTAATATAACTGCATGACTAGTCTTGTATGACTAGTCTGTTTGGTCGTCGTTCAAAGAAGGCAGGCCTACTAATCTTTAAGTATTAAGTTTTAGGTTTGTCGTATTTCACTGGGTTTAGGAGTCACATAACTGCGTTGTTTCTACAGCCTGTGTAGGTGGGACTTTTAACGGATTGTTTGCTATAATGCGACAACTTTTTTAATACGACGTACGAATTGGCATAAAATGTGCGTTCAGAATGCAGGAAATCGCGTCACTGAGGTCCTATATTTCAAATTCTTCGAATCTTCTAACAATTGGGTGCCCCAATCCTCTCACAATTGGATGTCGCAATTATGCTGGATCTGCCCCTGCATGAGTTATACGCACTTTTAGAGGAACAGAAAAATATTTAATAAAAAATATCCATAGTTAATCAGAAGTTTTCAGCGGCAACATATTTTTCGTATATATTTTGATTATTTAATGTTGATTTTATTGCATATTAAAAGTTAAGTGCTTTGATAATATTAATATCTTATCGGTATTTATTTATAGGGTGCCGCACTGCATCCTACCCAGGATCGTGTGTTAAGCGTAAGGGAATGTGCCAGGTCCCAGGGATTTGCCGACTGTTATCATTTTTCTGGGTCCATTGCGGATAAATATAGACAGGTAAGCCTTTCTCTTAGACACCTGTCCCATTGAACACCTGACAGCCCAAGCTACGTAATTCATGTATACAACATTTGGTTTTAATTAATATCAAATTCTCGAATTTCAACCATTTTTGTGGCTCAGCCTCGTCCCTCCCTCGTCAGTTACCCCAAATTCTATCCTTGTAGTTCACACTGAAATTTTGCGATGGGACAAAAAGACAGCCCATGGTTCGCAATACACGGGTCATAGGTTAAGGATCGCAGACCTTTGGTCACAGGTCAAAGGTCATGTATCACTGAAGCTTTTCGAATTTTTAGTAAGCTACTAAACTTTACTATTTTTGTTTCTTTTGGTTTGAAAATGGGATTCTACAATTTCAGATACTTACATGACATTTACATGCAACCGATGAGGTACCTATTAACTACACCCATTGGCTGAAATGTAACCTGCACCGTAAGACTTGTAACCTGCATCAACAACCCAAAAGTTGTGACCTTCAAGTCATGAGCTATAACCCAAATCCTATGAATTATGAAATGCGACTGCAAAATAATTTTAATGATCTTTAATTGAAGTAAATACTTATTTATTATAGGTTGGAAATGCAGTTCCACCTCCTGTGGCAAAATCGCTTGGCTTGGCATTTAAACAGGCATTAAAATGATTTTTTATGAACAAAAGATCAGGGGCCGGTTGTATAAAACTCTTAATCACTTTTTTAATCGACTATTTTGTAGTTAAACAGTGATTAACTCTCAAATAGGTGCTTCTTATTGGATGACGTTTGCACTTAACTATATAATTAACTTTAATCACTTTTTTATACAACCGACCCCAGAGTTCAACCAATCAGATTCACTGAAAGAACGATATATTTCACCTTGTCAAACCTCATTAAATCGCTATATGATCCTGAAATTTCATGGTACTTTGTTCATCACCAAGATTTAAGCTAAATCAAAGTTGAAAATTGTTCCATGCATCATTGTTTTTTCGCAGGAAATATTAAGGAAACAGGAAATATTAATTAAGGATAAAGTAGAGCTCATATTAATTGCTGCTTGAAGTAGTACATGCCTCAAGGAACCGCAACGTTGATAATCAGGTTGATTGTAGCGATAATTTTGAAATAGGTACTCACAAATTGGCAATCTGACAGAGTGTCATGAGACCGAAAGTTGTAGTTTTTGAGAGAAACTCAGCTTATCAAACTATTAAAGGTGATGTAAAGACCGTCTTGCGCATACGTTCTGCGCACGCCAACATTCCAATGGTCGGGACCCGACCATTAATATTTCGCACCTTCCGAACTTTCTTGAATTGAATTTCTAGTCTGTATTCATTTACAAGCATAGCGAACCAAAAATTCAGTCTAATATATATCTAATCATATTTTACAACTGTTGCACTGAGTTCAAAATTATAAACAAAGTGTTTGTTTACATTACGGACTTTACATCACCTTTATTAAATTATTATATTATGTGACAGAGTAGGCGTCACCATTCTGCTTATTTACACTCAGGTAATGTTAGAGGCAGTTTGTTGTCTTGCTCCCGATTCATCAAAATAAAACAACCTTTCACAAATACAACTGGCAGACTGCAGACTCATCAGTATTTGATATATTAGAAAATGAATACTGGGCATATGAAATAGAGACAGACAAGCAATAAAAAATAAGCAAATGATGAATATATGGACAAGGCAGATGTTTAGCAGACAACAGCTCTACTCTCTTTGACAATATAAAACGTTTGCTGAGCAAACTTACAAGTCAGAATAGGCGGAATGTTTGTCTCATTCTAATATTACAGAGATGTATTCAAGTTACTCGCCTCGACGGCTTGTGGCCACTTTTTTGTTCTTCTCAAATTTCATCTGTATAATATATAGAGAATAATACACGGGTGCGCGGAAACACCAGATTTATTTCGAGTGTTGAACATATCTCACGAGTGAGCGCA